ATTTAAAAAACCGAGCTGGTCTGATGGGCGCGCGGGAGCGTGTTAGGGGATGAAGGGACACATTCGCGCTCCTAGCGAAGATGTTTTTCAACAGTCAGAGGGATTGTTGGCCTTTTCAAAAAGTTTCATCGATATCTGTGGTTTAGTTTCTTTTACAATGGACTCTTAATGGAGCTGGACGTAAACGGATGCGCAGCGCTGCAGCGGTCGTTGTTTGTACTATGGTCGCGGGCCCAGAGACTTGCCCGGACGCGGGCATGCCCTGGCATGTTGTTCATGCGCCGGTCTGATAGAGGTCTGATAGATTCAGCGCGGTTGAAGATTACACACTTTTTTATCAGTGGAATGAGGGCCAATGAGAGCTGAGATCATTTTTACGTCATTCAAATCAGACTATATCATTGGCCCATCCGTCCATTCGCAAGGTAGATTTACACCATTGACGTATAATACAATCTAGACCGCGCATTGGGCCCGACTTTAGGCGGGGAAGGTAAGACAGCTAGGGGGGTAAAGACGCGCCTTCAGCCTAGTTGATACCGCCGGATATACGAGCTAAGTGTACCCGTATCAGGCAACGGCATTGGCAAGACTGGCATTTCCACGAATTCCACCATTGTCTCGCCGGTACACTTGCTGTGTGTTGCTGGGTTGCCTATCGTCTCGCTTGAATTTCGTAATGCGCGGTCTAGATTGTATTATACGTCAATGATTTACACAGGTATGGAAAAGTTGAAAATTTCCCATGAGCCTCAGTACGTGTCACATGACCTCGTGACGTAGGTTAAGGGGCCCGTTTTTTAATTAAATTACAATCAAATTAACATTCAAACGTTTGTGCGTTTAAACGCTAAAATTAATATCGCATAACCAAAATTGTGCAAAAAATCCCACAAAATTTTGACGAACGATAGACCGAACATAATAAATCAAAATAATCAAAACATCCAAAATGGCTGACGTTAAGGGGCCGCTGGAGAGCCAATCAGAGGCCAGTTGTTTAGTTCTGTCCCATCTTCCGCGATTCACAACCGCATGGCGGTGCTTTATTTTGTTTTTATTACTTTTTATCCATTTTATCACCCGAAAATTAGGAACTGTAATCCTGTAATCAGTGCCAATCACGTTTTACCTTGATTTCTCGTTTCTTTCTATTTCCCTTGACTTTCTGAGTGCTTAGTGTGAAAAGAAATTTCCCATTCCTACTTCGGTACTTGTTGAGGAGGTTTTTCTTTTCGAGTAGGACGATGAAACTCCTAACGCACAACATGCTTTCTTCGAAGTGTTTGAAAGGTGTCGTCACAGGATATCCTTTGACAATAATTGTAAGCTGATGTATATCTTGGTTTTTTTTTTATTTGTATAATGTAAGCCATCAGTAGGACAACTCAATCGTTACTCTTTTGAGTCCAAGAAATATCACTCGTAAAGTCTGGCCATAATTTTCTTGAGTCAGCCCATGCCCAATTGTTGCCAATGCATGTTTGCACATTCGTCTCTATCCAAGTTGACTAAACATTTCGCAATTTGAATCAAGAAACAAGCATTGGATTCTTTTGTATGAGTGTCATTGCAACATGTGCACTCCACTCAAGCAGGTTTTGATTCGATTCTTAGATTAAGAAGAACATGTGCAGGCTTCTTCTTCAGGTGATCAGAAATGACGCCATATCCTTTACCACACTTTTAGACTGTGTCAGTTTGAATATAAATATAGCCACTGGAAGCATTGCCACTCTGTACCAATCCTTCTTATAATGTAGCAAAGGTGTTGTTAGTTAAGTTAACACTTTTTCACATTCTGTCTGATAGGCATTGTGATTCAGTTGTCTAATAACAACTAGGATTGAATCTAGTCCCATTTTGAGGGTGTTCAATCCACAATTCCTAATGGACAACTGCAATGTGGTCGCTTGCAAACGTAATGTAAACAAGTGCCAATCATCTCCATGATGGGCTCCTATTATTTTCAAGCAGTGGTGAGGCATGAATGATCGATTATCGATATTCCCTCATTTGAAACTTTGGTGAACAATCGAATATTAAAGTATTCGATGCCAACACCCTGTTTATCAATCCTTTTCATAGGTTTAAATGGACTTATTCCTTCGTGAACCACCGCTAGCGCTTAAAACAATGAACGAAACTAAAAAACAGCGAACCGATTAAATCAACTAAGGCTAAAATCAAACTAAATTAAAAACTCAATTCGCTTACGTATCTAGTGTGATACCGCTAGCGCTATCTGCCGGAGAATTTAGAATGCTAAGTTCCTCCCCACCCGTTTTAATATGCCAGTGATCATATTGTGAGGCGTCCTATCCAAAGTCAACTGAATACATATATTGTAGATTGTTGTTAAAATACCAAAAAAAAAAAAAAAAAAAAATTCCTGCCAAATTTCATATTTCTTACGACAAGAGCCATATTATGCATTTATTCTTAAGGGTCTCAGCAGGGCTCATGTCTCAATGCACCTAGTGCCGTTTGGCAGAAATATGTCAAAATGACAAATCAAATGATACATTGCAATGCATGCTGCGCCATAGTTTTCAAGCAAGATTTGTTTTGTAATTTTAAAGACAAAGTTATTCATGTTCCTTTCAATTCTTTCAGGCAAAGGATGTCAAAGTTTCAGAGGTAGACTTCAATCAAGAATTTGTTTCTCGAGTATTACCTAAATTAGATTGGAATGTCCTGTGGAAAGCAGCAGAAAGGGTAAAAACATCAAATCTTGTAGTCCCTATTCAAAGTTCGGTGTCACCTTCCTCGCTAAACTTTAATAAACAATAAGAGTATTTTGGTGAGAGGAGCCTCTTAGTTGTAAGAGCATCTAAAAAGCATATCAGATAAGTTGGAGACGGTTTACTTTCGGCAGTTCTGCTTAGTCGATGTATTCACCAATCTGTGCATGGTCGCAGAAACTTCTTGACCATGTGATGGATGTAACTGGCAGATGGCGATTAGCGATGTGCCTAGATGTTAAGGCTCCAAAAATTGGTTTTAAAATGAGGAAAGCAGTATGCGCTAGTGTTAAGATGAATTTTTTCTCTCAGGAATGAGGTGAAAATCATATTAGTACCCCAGAGCCAAAAGGTACCTAACTCCATCTTACCATTTCGAGATATCAGGGAAAAACTGCATGTCAACCCTATTGATTCCTATGTAAATCGCAATTTTTGAAATTCCGTGTCTCATAACTAGCGAAAGAAAGGGTGATCAAATTTTCCGCACACACGGAATTGTTAATGGAAATGGAAATTTCGAAAAAGCCACTAACCCGATTTCTCCAAAAATGTGTGTCAGGTACCTTTTGGCTCTGGAGCAATGATACGTCTCTGGATACATTGCCATCTTTTTCACTACATTGTCACAATTTGAATGTAATGAGCAAATTAGAGGGCAAGGTCAGCCCTTCTAAATTTTTGCAGGAAAAGGATCATGACTCTATGCCGTAAGCATAACTTCATGAAAGGTCAAGGGTCTAGATATAAAAGAAATTAAAAGAAAGCTCCTTCATTCACATAGTTGTAGATCATGGTAGTGTTGGTGCCCACCATTGTTTACTATCTACTACTTTTTTATGTTTTTTTAACAATTTAATTTGCGGCGGAAGAAAACATTGAATACATTTGCAGAAAGAAGACATGTTTTTCGATTCGTTGAAAAGCTGATTATCAAGAAAAATTTAGCCGGTCCATGCCATTTACATTGGTTTTTAAAGTTATAAATAAGTATTCTCAGCTCTCAACAATTTTTTTTTAAATCAGTATTGCAAGGAAAGAGGTTCCTTTCAGTACTTGAACCTAAAGACAACTAGGTGATCAGTTCCAAAGGTTAGTTTGACTTCATTTTGCAATTCGGAACCACAACTTCTGGCTAATACATACAAACACCCATCTACAAAGGGAAACCAATGACTTATATGTTGTATCCACAATGAGTTAGAAATTGCTGTTCCGAATTGCGAAATGTGGTCCAATTTAATGTAGTCCATATTAGTAAATGAGACTCGCAAGAAAAACCACCCTCTTCTTTTCGGCAGCTCTTCAATCTTAATTTAAACATATTCAATTACGGTTACAAGTTCTAACCTCCTTATTGTGTTTTAAACATTCTAGTTGGGACATGTTGGAGAGTTACCACAAACGTTAATTGAAAATTATGAAAATGACCCAGAATTTTTAAAGAAAGTTCATCATGTCTTACTAGAGGTGAGTTGCAACATTCCTTTTGTTATTTTTCATTTATGCATGACCACCCGCAGGATAGAAATCCTAGTACAGGGGCCAATCAGAAAGTAAGTTCCAGAGCCTCATTTCTTCGAAATCTTCAAAATTAGTAACAATAAATTAATGTAGTTTAAAAGACATGTTTGCCATACTCTCACCTTTTTAAGGAGCCAAAAAATTTGAAAAATGGCTCCTCTGTCCGCCGTGGAAGTTTGTTCTACTAGACTGACCCCTCTTCCGCATAGGTCGAAAAAAGTAATTTTGGAGTGCCCATAGAATATTGGAACAATGATAACATATCAAGCTGTTGCCACATATATTATATATATTATATATATTATATATATTATATATATTATATATATTATATATATTATATATATTATATATATTATATATATTATATTGGTGTCTTGGGCCAAGCAGTCAACTGACAGAAACGTTGGGCAACAATGCTTGGAATTCTATCTAATGCAGTTCTGATAGAACTGCCCGCCCGTTCCAGACCTTATTGACGAAGATTCGTTGAACACCTAGCGCATGTGCCTGCGATCAGATTCTCTTTTTTGTCCCTCTGTCAGAGCGTGGCTGGTTTCGTCTTATCTGCCCAAAAGTATTATTTTTTTAATGTTTTACTCTCTTATGACCGATTGAAAAAAAAAAAAACACACAAGAACATATCTCCAATACAATTGTCCAAAGAATTTGTTTGGAAAACTCAAACCTACTCTGAGGCTGCAGTTTTTAAAACACTTTTCTTTAGTTCATTATAGCACCAAATGAAGTTAGGTGTAATTATGCTTAATCAAGTGGCTATCCTGAATCTAAGAATGATGAATATTGTTTGTTTCTCAACTTTGTGTGAGGTATTTGTTTCCAAGAGAGTCATTATTTTCCTTTCTACCAGCAGAAGTCTCATCAACATTGATAATGATGAATTAATGTCAGATGCGGTGCTAAACCCAGTGAAATCGTCCCAAAAAAAAATGCCCGCGCTCAATCAATTGATTGGTATTGCTAACCGATGCATCATTTTGAAGTCATAAAAAATGTAAGCAATAACAAATCAAAGGTCCAGCGCCCACTTTCATCAGAATTTAACAAAACTCATTTTCTCACTCCATGGCATGGGTTTCGCACAATCTCTGATGAGCATCGTTGAGTGAAACAACTTGTTTGTTTGTTTGTTTTTTTTTTAATTTTATGCAAATCTAGTCGGTAATGGACCACTAGACAAGGTACGAATTGAAGCATTCAGATACATGTTTTCTAATCAGAATTTTACGTAGAACATGATTCGCGCAACGAAAATTACTGAAACCAATGCCTAACGGAGATATGAACGTTTTTATTTCACATTAGTTACGAGGAATTTGAACAGCCCGCTCACAAGAAACTCAAAGCTCTACGTGAGTCAAATCGCGCACTACAACGGTTTCAGCAAGCTTCTCAACCAAGCAATGTTCATTTCCTGCCATGTATTTTTTAAACTATAAGCAATTCGCTATAGCTGAGCCAAAGCGTCAAGATTGAGGTTGCCAGATTTTTTTTATCGCAGAGACGTTCATGACAACGTTTAGCGCGCGATGTGAATCACGTAGAGCATTGAGTTTTCATGAGCGGGCGGTTTCAATTCACACACCAAGAATCATTAAATATCTTCGGAAGGAGTTGATTTCGGTAATTTCCGTTGTGCGCGTCGTATTCTACGTGAAATTTTGGTGAAGAAACCTGTATCAGAATGCTGAAATTCGTACCTTGTCTAGTGGTTCATTATCTATCAAACCAAAAAAATAATCAGAATTTAATTTTTTTTCCCCAGGTTGAAGTTATAAATGGAGAACTTGTCTGTCCTGAAACTGGTCGCAAATTTCCAATCACGTCCGGAATTCCTAATATGCTATTGAATGACGATGAGGTTTAATATGTATTAATCTTGAGAGTGACAATCTACAACTAGTCAAGGGAAGAAAAGAGAATTGGCAAAATCACTGAAATGGTCTAGATACAATTACCCAAGGTTTATTTTTGTAATTGACTACTTATTTAACTAAGAAAGTTGCATTGGTTTTTAGAGACTGTGAGGAATCACACTAGATGTCTCATTCAACAAGAGGAACATGCTAAACTATGACCTTACATTTAAATAAATTTTTTAATTTCACATATTGATGGTAAAACTCCCAAACCATGTATCTCCTTTGCGGTGTTTAAAAATCTCCGCTCCAGTTTCATTTTTTTAAAAGAGAACCAACCAACCTTATTCCTTGAAGTTTGCTCAGAAATTGCTTCGCACAGAGAAGGAAAATCATTAAAATTCTCAAGACTTGATGTTGAGCGGTTCTTTATTAAAAAAATCAAGTATGACAGAAGGTCTACGACGTAGCAAACTGAGATATGTGGTCTGGCAGTTTCACCATCAGTATGTAATTCCTTGTTTTCCCCATCAATATGTGATTCCTCGTTGTCCCCGTTGTTTTTTAAAAAGAAGATGAAAGACTCAAAAAACTCGAAGTAAGCCTATTATCTTGTATTAACAGTGAAACTGCAGGAACAAGTATCCCAATATGCAATGTTGTAAACTACCTGTTACACTTTATTTTTTAAATGAAAAAGTACCTAACGACATTCCTTGAAAACTTCTTTGATTCTTCTCACTCTGGAGGATACTCAATGGAAATTTCAAGCAATGATGTTAATTTGTTCTCCTTTGATAAAATAAAATGGGAGCAAAGATTTTGAAACACCACTAACGAGATACGCATTCCTGCAGTCTCATCGTTGATATTCAGCTTTGTCTCCCTGGCTGTGGAAAGCGGGTGAGGCTTTATCTCTTATGAGGCATAACTCATGAACAGTGCTATAAAATAGATTAATACAAAATGAAACCAGGAAAACGCGTATCTCAGTGAGTGAGGATGTTAACCTCCTGCTAGTAAAATGCAGGGAAACCAATTATTCCTAACTCATGAAATTTTTTGAATTGTTCTTTCAAAATTTAATGCAAACTTTTTTTTATTAACTACTCTCCTTATGAGAAATGAAGTCAGAATGGAATGCAAAAATATTAGCTTCTCTTCTCGTCCAAAAATGTATACAAAACGATTTCTTGAACCAGGATTTTGTTTTTTTCAAGGGTTCAATTTTCTATCTTAGGCATTTTTCATTTTTTCTCCCTCCCTAATCTGTTGTACTTATCTCATAATTTGTCTCTCCCCTAGCATGAGGGCACAACTACAGTGAGATGAGTGTTGTCATCAATAGGATCCGTGCCCTCTTGGGCTCATGTGGAACTTCAAGATGGGCCTTTACACCTAAGTAGCGACAGATGGTGTGAAATATTGGGACAATTTACTTCCATCATCAGTTTGTTCTTTCCCTCTCATTTCGTTCCAAACCTTTTTTTCCCATTGTTTCTCTCCATGAAACAGTATCTCATGATTTGAGTATTGAATCAGGTTCAGTACATCAACAATAGCTATGATGCCAATACAAGTCAAAGCATGTACATACTAGCTTTGAATCTCCCCCCCCCCCCCNATTTCCTGTATTCTTTTATGTATGTATTATTTTGCTCCTTGTAGGCAAATAAGTCTTCGTCTGTTTTTACTTTTTATATTGCAAAAATATATTTTTTTTTTTTTTTCACGAAATAAACAATTTAAACTCCTTGAATACTCGGTTGTTCGTTTCTCAATTGAGTCTCCAGAATATTCTAATGGAACAACTCATGGAATTAGTTCAACGCCTATCAGAAACTGAGCAAATCGTGCAGAATTATTTCTTCGATTATTAGTCCTCCAAGAAAGGGAGGGGAACTTAAAATCAAGGATTTCAGAGTAGAAAGTTAGTATATTCAATTTCCAGGTATTAAAAATAAGTACTAGCTTTTCACCAATTTGATGACCTTGTGAGTATTTCAGTCTCTGTTTAAATTTCGAAATGGTCCCATTTTTGCCACAATACCCTCAACTCATTCAAAAAGCAGCTTCATTTTTTTTTGCTAGCACCCCATCTTTAAATTTTTGGCAAAGACATACTTTGATGCATTAAAAGAGAGACAGACAAATAACTAAAGAATTTTAACAAATTAAAAAATTTTATTTTACATTTTAGTATGTAAATGTCAGATAATCATGCAGACAGAGGAAAATTTTAAGCTTAAAGTCACTGCTTGCTGTTTTTGGCGAGGATATTTTGATGGAAGAAAATCTATCATTAGGAAAAAAATTAAAAAAATCAAGATTAGAGAAAATTATTTAAGACTCGTATCCCTTGATCTGTAGGTGATGCCCCTACTCTTCATTTCTCTTATTATTGGGTTCGGGAGCCGTCCAGCCACTGATATGGCGTATACACCCCTGGTAAATCGATCTGAAACAAAGAGGTCACACTTGTAAAATATCAGATAGTTTGTGAAAATTTCATCAGAACCAGGGATTTGTAATTCATTTACTTTTCTCAAGTAAAATCTTGCAAGAAACAATGGTACCGCTGATTTCCTCTGAGATGAATTCCAATGCTCAAAAATAGCTCTCTAAGTTGAGGCTGTAATAGGGATCCTAGCACTACGCTCGAGTCCACCTCCATATCCAGTCAAACTCTCCAGGCGCAGATAGAGAGCAGAGAGATGTGTTGATCGGGATGCCGAAGTTCTAGCCTTGGAGTCCCGAGTTAAGTGGCAACCCTACCAATGTATTTCCTTCCTATCCGTGTATGAACCGTTTGACTGGATGGTACTGCAGTCCTCCAAATTTTAGGCTGAGAATGGTTATAAAAACGCATTTTGCTTTTATTTTGGGTCTTCAAATATGTATTCAATTTCCTTGATAAAAACAAAGATTGAAAGGGAGGTTGTGACAGGATGTAATGGGCCTCTCTAAGGTTGAAACTTGATTTCTGGCAACCTACCCAATGCTCACTAGTAGGGCTGTTCAATCGGTTGTCGGTAAGCTACCGAAACAGTTCCGTTAAGAAAAAGTTACGATAAGAGCGCTCTTGCCAATAGCGATCAGAGTTTTCGGAGCTGGCGAAAATAAGCTGTTGCCATGTGTACATCTATTTCATGCGCCGCCGCGCCAGGCAATCTGATAAACCGACAGAAGGGGCAACAATGCATTGAGTGCGAGCTCTCAAAAATCCGATAAGGCCGGTTGTTGTTGATATCATAGCCACTGTCGGTACTGCCGCCAGTTTCAATAAGAGACGATATCGATAGTGTTCCGGCAAGAATTCGTTTGAACACCCCTACCCACTAGTGACAATCCTGACCTAAGTAAGGGTCAAGTATTTGCTGAAAAGCCTCATGTCAAAATACCTATAAATTGTAATGAAGCCTTTTCAGAAACCATAATTAATAAAACTGTTGTGGAGGCAGAATACTTACTTATTCGTTGCCATTTAGCTACCCAGCTGTCATCTGGACTCATCAAACAAATCATACTGAAAAAAAGAGAAAAAAACATAAAATTAGGTTGCTTCGACACTAAATATTCTGTAGTGCAATCTTGAGTACTGTGAGTGTAAGGTCGAGTGAGGCTTCATAATGTAAAACTATGTGATGACGTGTTCAATAGTTTTTTTAAATTATAATTGGTTAACATGAGGTTCATTGATGGTCATCCAGGTTTTCCGTTCAATAAACTTAAGTCTCATGCCTCATGCCTTACTACCTCCTAAATGTGTACTTCATCCGATGATTTTTCAACGACGTCAATTTAAGATTACGTAGCTTTTCCAAGCATGGTTTTTTACTTGATCTGTCCAAAAATGTAAACCTCCAAAGGTAATGAACTTTACAAAAAGAAAAAAAAATTATTCTCTGCTAATAAAGGTTAAACTTACCCATCAAAATTAGAACTGGTGCAGTCATAAACATTGTCTCTGTTGTTTTTCATGCGTAAGAATTCATCGCAATTATCACATCCATCAAATTCAAACTGTTCAAAAGTCTGAAAAGTTCCCAAAAATAAGAAATGTGAGATAAACAAGAAACGCTTCATTCACATTTATGAGTAGAATTTGGGAATATTTAAAGTTTCCATCGTATTCCACATGAAATTTAGATACGTAAGCGAATATTGTGGTACTTAACTTCATGCTCATTTACATGCATTTAAATCAAAAGGAGCTACATCCATTATGACATGAGCCCTGCAATCTATAAGAGTACATTTATGGCAGGCACCGTTGTCAGCCCAGGCCAACAAGATCATATATCTGGTTGTAGTTGTAGCTTTTAGTTTTGCAACAAACAGAGGCGAAATTCTAATTATATTACGTAATGAACTCTTTTTACTGTAAAGAAATCTAGTTAATTAAACTACTAATTTGGTGAAAAAAATTAGTTATGAGGAATTCATCTGCAAATATTACCTATTCAAAAGACACTCCTCCCTGAAATGTATTTTAATGAATTTGAGAAACCCATCCACTTATTTAATTTTTATTTACTGCATGTCGTGAAAATTAATACAGACATCTACGCTAATATAATATGCAAAATCAATTAGCAACCAGGAGGATTTCAGCCTCCAGGCCCTAACAAAAAATTTCATACAGAAATGCTCCTCTACAAAATCCTTCTTTTGTTGGAGTTTCCAAATTTACAAAAAAAAACTTCATGACACAGAAAAAAAGATGTTCAGAGAGAAATAGTTCCAAAAATAAGAAACTTTATGCACTGGAACAGACCTTGATTAAAGAACAAACAAGACAGGCTCGGGCTGTTCGCAAATCCTTCGGTATTGAATCGATAGACATTGTCACCTGTAAATATTATGAGAGAGGAACAATTTTAGAATGATTGGGAGTATAATAAAGAGGAGACAGCAAGTTAAAATAAATGAAGTGAAAGGAGTGTGTTCAGGTAGCATTCTCCCTTATCTGATCCAATATTGATATTTTTCTTGACTTGGGACGTGAAAAAGTGGCACAAAAAGGGATGAATTTTTCCCAGGAAGATACAACAGTACCAGGAATGGGAAATCCTTAGAAATTTCTTGGTGCTTCCTCAAAATTAAATAAATCCTAAAAATTTATAGGAAAAAGGAACTTCTACAAATATTGCAACACATGTGCTCAATTAAAGTTCTGATGCCCGTAGGTACCTGTATTTTCCTTGGTTTGGCTTTGTAGCAAATCGCAAGAACAGTATTTTAGTCTCCTGAAAAAATGAGCGTTTTGAGCATTCAACAGCTTGACAAGCCGCGCAAAATCTCTAGACCAACAAGTTCACCAACGCAGTTCTTGGCATATGTTCAAAACCGTAAACTCTTAATGAAAATCAAATAACTCCATAGTTACGAGCAATTTGTCACTAGGCATATAAAAGCTGACATGGAGAAAAAAAATTTGTTTCCATAACATATGTGGGCGACTGTTGGCAAATTTTTATGAATGATGACAAATGAAAATTTTGTAAGAGGTGTTGTCAGGTAAGTTGGCCCTTGTTTACATTCTGTTTGCAAGCGACCGTGATACATTCATCCAAGGATCAAGGATTGACTACGCTAATGATCGGGCCACAGTCAATCTTCGATCACTACTGGAAAATTGCATCGCGATTGCTTGCAAGCGAAAAGTAAACAAGTGCCAACTTGGCTGATGACACCTCTATCATGAGTGATACATCTTTGTGGTACAGATCTAGCCTAGTACATTTTGCATTTCTTAATGGTGATCCTGGGTGCATGGTACGCCAAATCTGAGAATATGATCTGCCAACAAACTTAACCTCGATGACTTGTGTGCACATCTATTAGGGCGGTTTAATTTAGGTGCTATTCCCCCTATTAATGTGAGATTCTTTTCAAAACTATTAGCAGGGGCAGCTCATGTTTTAAATACCATCCGCAAACTGTACATTTCAAGCAGATCGTAAGATTGAGGTGTGAAAGATCTGCCGAGTTGTCATACGGACAACCTTACAATCACTAGATATGTGTGTGTATTTATCTGAAAGGGAAATGTAAAGAAAGAAACGTACCCGGCAGTATCGCGGCAAACTGGCGATGAGGAAAAAATCTCTAGAAGTCTAGAGGCTCTTCTTACATGGGTATGAGTGAAGGTAAAGTAAAAACTGTGATGCGAGGGCCCCTTCGAAACTGTGACTCTACAGTACTTACGAAATGATGATTATTATTCCTAACTTTTACTCTAAAAAATTATAAAATCCAATGAAGAGTATACTATCTTCTCACATAATCCAAACTTAACGCCAATTTTTCTAGAAAAACTGATGATAATGAGAAAAATAAAATTCGTCACATACAATTACTGGAGAAGCAAAACAAACAATTTTTTTAGGTTAATAAGAAAAGACCAGAAGACGCATGGTAACTAACGACATCTATACGAGAAATTCTGAAGTTTTGATTTGATCGAAACCCTATTATTGTTTTCAAACTCCGATAGATGGCGTTTGAATCTCTAAGCTCCGATTTGTTTTGTTGTGTAACTTTCCTTCCCTGTAAGCTAACAGTGCAAATTTACTGGGAATTGTTGAATATGTATGTAATTTAAAAGAATCTGGAAATTTAATGCCTGCTGCTAGCTAAGTTTTCCAAATTTAATCCTTATCACGGTGAAAAAGTCTATGCGTTACATAAATTTGCCCGTCTGTAATACTCCCGAACTCCCAATGAGTAGAACTTCGAGTAAACTTTCAACCAAGTGACCTACATAATATTACGTTATTATGAAATACATTTTAATATATTGGTCCATCCATTAAAGATACGCATTACGAGCACGTAAAATTTTTTAAAGTTCATAGATCAATATCCGCATCCGAATTCCAACGGTCTAGAGTCCGAAAACTTGACAAATTCGGACGATCGAAAGTGACATTTTCAGTTTCCATCTTGATTTATTAGTTGTGTCTCCCTGATGCGAAGTGCAAGTGAAGTGGCCTAGAGACCTACATTTATCGTATGTGTCGCTCGGTTTTTTCTTTAAAGTGAAAATAATTGGCCCGAAACGCCACTTAAAATCTACATGTTGCTGCTTTAGTCTCGGATTTTTGAAGAAATAGGTCATAATGCACGAGGAGGATACTAGCTTGAGTGTTCCCTCGAACTCAACTCCGGCATCGTCAACCCCTCTTGATGTCGATCCTTCCATGGCTGCTGATCAAAACAGTTCCTCAGAGCTACAAGTGGCATTACCGACCGATACCGCAGGTAGATAATTCAATGTCCTTCAATCTTTCATCACGCTCCGCCCGCAGTTTACCTCGGCAACACTTGAGCTCTGTATCTGAAAACTAACCTATAATGCCAGGCTTGACCACAACTAACTCAAACCTGACCTTTCTTTATTTATATGTCATTAGCTTCCCTCTAATTCAGGAACTCTTTTTCTGGCCAATACCTTTGTGTCAGACTGGGTTCCATATTACTGTGTTCAACTTGTATCCTGCTGTTTCTACTTCTGAGCATCGGAATAATTCAATCGCTAGTACCTATTGTATAATTGCTAACCTCCAAATGTATATGCCAAGCAAGACGCTCCTCTGAGGCTTTGTGTTCTTTAACACATTAGTCAGCTAATCGATGTCGTGGAAGGCTAACTATGTTCTCCACATCATGCTTTTGCTTTTGACTCAAATAGATGCCCGCGTTTAAGGTTAGAAGCAGCAGGTTTACACTGTGAAGTAAATCTTACGAGTCCTAGAAATTTGTCGCTGCATCTGCAGGGAATCGTTATTTTTCTGGGTGAAGCATATAGCTTCTAGACCCAAGGTTTACTTAGGAAAACTATAATGATCCGAGAATTCAGAACTCTTAGAGCTCCATTTGGCCGCAGTCATGGGTCAATTGAAGTGCTGGGTGCGAAAAGGGCATTTCTTTGTTGCGGTGTTTCAGAATCTTTCGTAACATTTCGCCTATTATAATCAAAGGAAATGCAATGAATTCGTTGCAAATTTTACTGAATTTTCTTAATGATTTTACAATGCTAGGTATAAATGAAAGATTTCAGAAAATTCACCCTATAGTTTCCTCTTTAAAGCATAAATTAACAGCGGTGATTCTGAAACGCCTCAACCAAGATATGCCCTTTCTGCACCCAAGGCCTCAATTATCTGCGCGTCACAAATGTAATCGACAATAGGGAGCTAGCGTACATTTTTCTGAAGAACGTAAAGGGGTGGGGGGGGGTGCTCAGATAGGAAGGGATATAGAGCTGAAGAACAACACAACTGGTATGCTGGTACTGAATAAGTATACTTGTTGGTGCTAGCAACTCCTAGCCCTCTCTTCGAAAGCGGCTTCTCAGAACTTTAACTCTATATCTTCACTAGCTCCTCAACTTGTAAACTGCACTTCTCCACAACTCTTGTGTGCATGACTACAGACCTGTGGCTATACATTAGATGCCGACACAATGATTTATCAACCATATAATAGCATCAGACAAAGCATTCCATGGGCACGACTGAATCTCGGGCCCGAAAAGCCTCGCGCCCTTACCCAAAATAAGCCCAGCCAAAACAAGCTCAGATAGAATGACTGCAAATTCTGTGGGTGAAGCAGCCTAGAAGCGACCAAAATGGGACGATCCATCAGATGAATGGCCCTGGTTCAGTAATGACTAGTATCATTGTTGATTTCAGACTTCTGAAAAGTCAATTACTTTACTATCAGTCAGAATTAATCCCATCTCTTGAAATAAGGCTGTCACAGTCAGAAATTCTGAGTATTGTGCTGCAGATACTTCATTGGCTTCTTTTGTTTTTTTGCTCCAATTTTTTTTTTAATTTTAAGTAAGTAAGTTCAAAGTTCAAAGGGACAATATTGAGATTTTGAGAAAATTAGGAGAGAACACCATCATTTTGGAACTTCTGACTTCTCAATATTACTGTTCACGGGAATGGTGCAAAACAATTTTTAGCTCTACAGTCGGGTGCGAAGGAAGTGGAAGAGAAACTAAGTACATGACTTTTTATTTTCTGTTCCCCTATGACTCATTTTCACCTCCAATCTCCACCGAACTTTTATTAAGTAACCTTATTTACGTTTCATCATCTCCATTCTCCACTAAGTAATGAAGTTTGTATCAAGCATTCACAATAGTCGGGGATTTCCTTCCTCTCTAATACCTAATTTGCAGGACTATATCTGAAGTTACGGGCCAAAAAACTGCAACTAAATTTTCACTGATTCGAGAAATCAAGGCAAAAGCTTGCTACAGCTCAGTTGACAGCGGCATATTGCTCTACTTTTAAAACCCTGTATCTTAGGTCTGGTGTTAAATATCAAACCCAATTTTTTATATTAGACAGATTCCTTATCAAGTAGGTAGGTATGTTTAAGTAGAGTGCAAATAACTTGATTTTGCCACAATGTTTTTTCATGCTTGTTTGGCTCTTAACAACTGATGTAAGGGGCTTTTGATATGTATGCAGCACCGCACAGTGCACAGTCTTTATGGATTACCGTGCCATGAATACCTTATGCCATAAATGTTTACTAATTAATTGAGAGATTTGTGACAAAAAGTCTATGGAGGTCTGCGGCCCGATTATTGAAACTATTTTGCCTTGACACGACAAGACATAGCCCTATCTTAACCATGCAATATATCGCAATTCAATGTCTTATCAGGCTGCTTTAAATTTTCAATTATCGGCCCGCTGGTACCTGTTAGATGCAAGTAAATCCTGAAGTGCTGATGTACTTACATAAATTTCATTACCTGGTCAAAAGACTAAAGAAAATGGTTTTATTCTCAGCAATATGATAGCATTGTTTGGATAGGTCATTAATAAATTTTTGCTCAGCTTTTCTGTTAAAATTGAGCAGAAAATGTTTCAAAGTATGTTGCACTGTAGTTTTTAATATTGCGATGGCCAAAAGGTGAAACCATGCATCTTCATCGCGGTGTTTCAAAATTTCTTCTCCTATTTTGTTTTTTAAACACAATCAAGCCCACTCTATGTAGCCTGGAATGTTCACAGAATATTCTGCTAACAGAGCAGAAAAACAAAAATAAAAAAATTTGAGAAATTACGCTGACTATTTTCCAATAAAACAATTAAGTATAACAGGAAGTCTCCAGTGTTGCAAACGAAGATACGTGGTTTCGCACTGTAACCATGGATCGGTGTCACAATTTCACTTTGGAGAGCAAAAATCAGCATTAAGTCAGTGCTTTGTAGGGAATGCAGCTTATTACTATAAATGGTAGCACCCATCTAGATGAGTATAATTAACTAACGCAGACAGGTAGAGGGAGAAGGGGCCATAGTACAAGTACCTCTTTTTGACCTTTCGTCATCATAACGTCTACAGGGCCGGATTTACCTATTTGCCACCCATGGGCCACCTGTATTTTGCCGCTCCCTTCTCATTCGTTTTGAAACATCAATAAAAACCATCAAGTGAAGTACCGGAGGGGGAGGGGAGGGGTGCATAAGACGCGTTCACTCGTGTTGGACACATTTTTTGCGAAAACCCTGTCAACACTATTAGCAAAATTTCACGGAACTTTGCGCGAAAGTTACATACGTAAGTTCCGTAAACTTATCTCTGTGTGAACAAGGCCTTCCATTTGTAAGAAATGAACGTAAAAATGATGCAAGAACAAACATAAATGTGGTTCAATAATTTTAACCTCCGCCGCCGCGCCGCGCTGACTACACTGTTTTTGACGCAATGCGTGAAGTATTCCTACAGTCTTGTAGGCGCTATGCGTTTCACGCCGACCGCTGCTGAACGCACTATGTTCGACGCAATGCGTGAAGTATTCATGAAGTCTAGTAAGCGCTATGCGTTTCATGCTGACCGCACTGTTTTTGACGCAATGCGCAGTTTTGATGCAGTCTTGCAGGTGCTAATATTTGTTACATGCCGACCTCCGTGCTGAGGGCTTCTCCTTTTCATCTCAAGTCCTATTCATCATCATTGCTCTCTGCGCCGCGTCGCTCCATACCAAATTGTGTGTTTGGTTTATCTTTTCACTCGACTAATTAAAGGTCGACTCTTGTGTCACCGAAAGACGCTTCTCTCGTTTGTAATTTTTATTCTGAATCCGATTTTTTTATACCTATATTTAAAAAAATTGCAAAATTTGCCGCCCCCTAAATTTGCCGTCATTGGCCGCGGCCCATGTGGCCATCCCCTTAATCTGGCCCTGAACGTCCAAGGTAAAATCGATGAAATAGATGCAATTTAATTTCTTGAGGGAGAGAGAAATTTAATAAATTAAAATAATTAATTTAATTTAATAAATACGTGAACAAATACACACAAAGGTAGACGTCTGGCGTCGAATCAAGGGCTTCAATCGCTATTACC